GTGGTGAGAGCGTGTGTGAAGAAGTACACCCCTGCAGGGTTAACATCATCTATTCGAATAGCCGTGTCCGCGGAAAAGGACTTCTGGGTTGCTTATATCAGTTCATAGACAAGTGAAAGTGGATACTCTAAAATACGCAAGATAAGCGTGAGTGCTATGGATGGCGTTCTCGTAGGGAGACGGGAGCGGATCCATAGTGGTGTATTGGTTGGTGAATATGTGGACTCGTGTGCGCCACCTCAAAAGAGTTACTTGCAGTCGTAGTTTAGGATAGCCACCGAGTCAAAGCTGGCTTGCTGCAGTTAAACCCCACCATCCCCTTTGTTGATAATGATGCATATGTAGTTAGTTCTGATGTAAGTCTTGCTGGGTACATTTGTACTCACGTTGCTTAATTTATGTTTTTGCAGAGAGAATTCAGTCTCGCTAGTAGTTCCACGTGGACTTCGACGTTTAGCTTGTTACCTCAGCTATGATCTTGTGCCCTCGGCAGGATCTGGTAGATAGTCAGGCTTCTCAGCCTTTTTCATTTATAGATGTCTGTACTCAGACATGATAGCTTCCGCTTGTGTTTTGATTTGTATGCTCTGAATGTTGGGTCATGAGACCTATGTTTGTAATATCTCGCTCCCCGGAGCCTATTGATTAAAATACTTGAGTCGTAGAGTCATGTTGTGATGCCATGTTGTATTTGCACATATCGAGCATATTGTGTGTATGTTATTGAAATGCTTGGTATGTGTGGGATCTGACTATCTAGTTGTTTATCTTTAGTAGCCTCTCTTACCGGGAAATGTCTCCTAGTGTTTCCACCGAACCATGGTAGCTTGCTACTGCTCCGGAACACTTAGGCTGGCCGACATGTGTCCTTCTTCGTTCCTGTGTCTGTCCCTTCGGGGAAATGTCACGCGATGAATACCGTAGTCCTGTTAGCCCGCTACAGCCCGGTTCACCGGAGTCCTGCTAGCCCAGTGCTACAGCCTGGATTCACTCGCTGATGACCGACACGTTCGATGCTGGGTCATGGATGCCTGTCCCTGTAAGTCTGTGCCACTTTGGGTTTACGACTAGTCATGTCAGCCCGGGCTCCTTATCATATGGATGCTAGCGACACTATCATATACGTGAGCCAAAAGGCACAAACGGTCCCGGGCAAAGGTAAGGCGACACCCGTGGGGATACCGTGTGTGAGGCCGCAAAGTGATATGAGGTGTTACAGGCTAGATCGATGTGACATTGAGTAGGGGTCCTGACACTAGGGGGGAATGGCGCCCAGCCCACTAGGGGCTGGTTCCCTTCCACCTACAGCCCATAAGGTCCTCCAGGGCAGGTGGACCCTCCCAGTGTACCCCCGGAACCCCTCTGGTGGTCCCGGTACAATACCGGTATACCCCCAAATATTTTCGGTGACCATATGATGACTTCCCATATATAAATATTCACCTCCTAACTATTCCGGAACTCCTCGTGACGTTCGGGATCTCATCCGGGACTCCGAACAACATTCGATAATCACATACAAATCTTCCCAATAACCCTAGCGTCATCGAAGCTTATGTGTGTAGACCCTACGGGTTCGGGAACCATGTAGACATGACCTAGACAACTCTCCAGCCAATAACCAACAGCGGGATCTGGATACCCATGTTGGCTCCCACATGTTCCATGATGATCTCATCGGATGAACCACGATGTCGAGGATTCGAGCAATCCCGTATACAATTCCCTTTGTTAATCGGTACGTTACTTGCTCGAGATTCGATCGTTGGTATCCCAATACCTTGTTCAATCTCGTTACCGGCAAGTCACTTTACTTGTTGCGTAACACATCATCCCGTGACCAACCCTTAGTCACATTGAGCTCATTACGATGATGTCTTACTGAGTGGGCCCACAGATACCTCTCCGTCATACGGAGTGACAAATCCCGGTCTTGATTCGTGCCAACCCAATAGACACTTTCAGAGATACCCGTAGTGCACCTTTATAGTCACCCGGTTACGTTGTGACGTTTGGCACACCCAAAGTATTCCTACAGTATCCGGGAGTTGCACAATCTCATGGTCTAAGGAAAAGATACTTGACATTAGAAAAGCTTTAGCAGACGAACTACACGATCTTGCGCTATGCTTAGGATTGGGTCTTGTCCATCACATCATTCTCCTAATGATGTGATCCCGTTATCAATGACATCCAATGTCCATGGTTAGGAAACCGTAACCATCTATTGATCAACGAGCTAGTCAACTAGAGGCTCACTAGGGACATGTTGTGGTCTATGTATTCACACATGTATTACGATTTCCTGATAACACAATTATAGCATGAACAATAGACAATTATCATGAACAAGGAAATATAATAATAACCATTTTATTATTTCCTCTAGGGCATATTTCCAACATTTCTATCTTGAGAGAAGCCTCTAGTGAAACCTATGGCCCCGGGTCTACTTTCCATCATATAAGTTTCTGATCTACAATTTTAGTTTCCTATTTACTTTCCTTGCAATCTTTTACTTTTCGTTCCATAAACCAAAAATACCAAAAATATTGCTTTACCGTTTAACCATCTATATCAGATCTCACTTTGCAATAACTGTGAAGGGATTGACAACCCCTTTATCGCGTTGGGTGCAAGTTGGTGTTTGTTTGTGTAGGTATTCGGTGGCTTGTGCGTTGTCTCCTACTACATTGATACCTTGGTTCTCAAAACTGAGGGAAATACTCACTCTACTTTGTTGCATCACTCTTTCCTCTTCAAGGGAAAAAACAACGCAAGCTCAAGAGGTAGTAGCTTCCTCTCTAGAAAAGGCCCTTTTACCCCTTTTCCTATTTCCAGAAAAGAAGAGAGAAAGAGAAATGTAGGGTAGTTTTGGAAGGGATAAAAATGAGATGAAGTTATTTCTATGGAAGCTTAATGATGTTGTTAATTTTAAAAGTAGTTTGAGGATTTTTAGGAAAGTTTAAATTCAAACAAGTTTGACTAATTTCAAAAAATTTGAATTTGAAACCCAATTCAACTAAACTCCAAATTGGCTCAAATTTTAGGAGGTGCCCCTACACACTAAATGTAATTTAAGAGGGAAAATGGAACATTTAACTTGCAGCTCAAATTTCCAAAAGGTCTTTAAGATAGAAGTTGAAAGTGTGTTGGAGATTTTGGAAAGTTGTCAAGTGACTTACCAAAAGTGAACAAAAATTCAAGTTGATGTGAAAATAATTCAAAACCAACTCACACAAACATCAAATAAATATTTAAAATAGGTCCTTAGGCTGGGTTTTTTGGTTTGGGCTGTTACAATCCACCATGGAGGTGATGAGATTCTTCTGTTTATCACACCCATGCCTTCTCAATCTGTTTAATTTGAAATATCGGATGAAGAGTAGTTTTGTCCTGCTGCAATACTTCCTGTTCATGCTCTGCCATTCCTTCTCGTGATGTGAGATACTTTTTGTAATGACGTGTTGATGTACCAAATATTTGTTGTATGTCAAAACTAATTATGCACTGTAAAGACAAAATGCCTGTTTAAAGATGTGTCATCGAACATCATGTTGTTATGTTGTATGCCTATACTAATTAAGTATTGTGAAGTAGTTTTTAATGTTATATGCTTCTGTCATGAGATTTTGGTATAGAGTGGCAAGCACCATTTTATGGTGTGTTAAGGAAGTTAGATGTTTCTTAGAGAAATGACAGTGATACACAAAAGTTAAATACTGAAGCGGTATAGAAATGTTAGACCACATAATTGACATTATCAACGTGAGCATATACGAAAAGGAATAACTGGATTTCAATTTGAGAAACTCAAGTCATAAGGAAAATAAATGTGACTTGAATATGTCTAAAACTCTGACATGGCAAGCAAAATCCAAGAACACACATTTAAACCCATGAGCCTATTTTTTTTTAAAAAAATCCCTTAAGCTAACCCCTCTATCATTTCACGCTTACAATTAACCATCACACAAAAATGGAAATGAAATGTGACGGCCGAAAACATCGCCTAAAATCTGTCCAGAATGTCCCCAAATTTGGCTAGGGGGCTGCCCGGGGAGGAAATCAACAAGTGACAATTCCCGTCATGATAATTAATCTTTTCCGACACTTTTTTCTCGTCACTAAGATTTTTGTCACTGATAATCGCACATTTTTGTAGTGAATAGATAAGGAAGAGCCATATGATAAGGGAAAGAAGAGTTAATGTTTATCAAGGCAGAGGTCTATCATATAGCAAAGTGGAGGGGAGGACACTAGATGCACGAAGCGTGCCCGAGGATACTAGGCGGGGATGGTGAGGAGAAAGTTAACGAGTTCACCTTCTCGAGGATAATTAAGAGCACCTAAAGTTGGAAACAAACATGAATAATGTGTTGAAGGGTGAGACAAACTAGAAGCCTCGGATATCGACCTCCAAGTAACGTGACATATGTTCTTTTAGTGGCGTGAACGATAGCCTTGAAAATGAGTCGGTGCTCAATCCTTAATTTGGCATGCCATTAACAACACGATATTACTCGCTCTCTTTCGGTTGATAAAACCCATGAGTATCCTAAGATCGTCAATTTGGCCAGTGCAACAAGAGTTATATGCCACAAAAAGTGTACCATTAAATTTGAACGCGAAATGAGCTTTCTGATGATATATCTTTTTTATTATATAACTCGTATTTCGTTTGTCAAATTAACGATCTAGGAATGTGAGCATGCCTTATGAGTGAAAAAGAACAAGGAAAATAATCATTTGGCATGAATGGTGAGTTATCTCAAAAACAATAATATGGAAAATAAAGGAGAAACATGGCAACTCTCCAAATTCACCATGGAAAAGCTGTAATTGTCAAAAAAAAAACATGTAAAAACTGTAGGCCGGAAATAGAGGAGGTCGCAAGACAACACCCCCGGTAAACGCCCGGCCAAAGGCAAACCGGTGAGGCCCACCAGCACTCCCCCCATAAAGACCGCAAGGAAATCGAGAGGGGGGAGCGTGACAGGATGAATGGTATAAGTATATATACCAGGATACTATCGGAGACCCTTCTTCGACTTTATACCCTAGCAGGCCAAGTAAAAAAGGGAATGGTGCCGCCGTGGACCCGCGATGTCGAGGAGGCGATGGCGAACGCGGAGGAGGAGGAGGACGTCGAGGAGCCCCTCGACTGCGGCATCTGCTTCCTTCTACTCGATGCGCCGCCGACCTTCATGGTACGTACACGCATGCAATATTTACCCAATCCAATCTAATCAACCGGCCGGAAGCAATCTACGCCGTGCTGATTTCGATTTGCTTTGCAGTGCGAAGCTGGGCACCTGATCTGCTCGCCCTGCCGCGACATGCTCGGGCTGGTGGCGGGGACGTGCCACGTCTGCAGCGCCAAGGCCGCCCGCCTCGGCTCTCGCCGGAGCCTCGGCCGCGACGTCTGGCCGGTCTACTATGAGCCCGGCGACCGCTGCGGCGCGCTCCGCGGGCCGTGCCGCTGCCCAGGCGACGCCTGCGGCTTCGTCGGCAGCACGGCGGCGCTCCTCTGTCACTTCGTCAGCGCTCATGACTGGCCGGTCCACGCCGGGGTGACCTCCGGGGACAGCATCGCCGTCCGCCTGCAGGACGGCTTCAACATCGTCGCCGTCGACTGCATCGGCGGCGCCTCCGGGCAAGACCGCCTAGAATTCCCCGGAAGGTATCTGCTCGTGCTGGAGATGATCCAGCAGACATTCGGCCGCACGGTCTTCGCCTTCTGCCTACGTCCCGACGCCGCCTTCTGGGAGAAGGAGGCGCAGTGCCGCGTCAGCCTCTACTACTCGCGCAACATCCTCGAAGGCGACGATGACAAGCCGCCGGTTCAGTGCTACTACCAGACAACCAAGGCCAGCGTGACGTGCACCGATCTCTCCAGCGGGCTGCCCGACCCCGAGGACTGCTTCCAGGCTCACGTGTACCGCTCCGTCGACCTGGAGGACAACGAGGACACCGTCGAGGTGACGCTCAGGATTCTCATCAACTGATCCCTGGAGGTTGCAGCAGGTGACATTGTTTGTGCTATATTTGATTGATCTGAAATATGTTGGGTGTTTGGTTTGTTATGTTACACATCTGCCGAAACTGTAGTATGATGCGGTTTGATGTTATATACTCTTTATACTTGAGCATGTTATATGTCACTATAGTTGGAATGTTTGTACTTGAGCATGTTATGTCACTATAGTTGGAATGTTTATTGTGTTCATAGAATCATATACTCATCTATTAAAAATGGTTTATATTGAAAACAATCGTCTATTTTGCTATATCTATGTTGCAATAGATGAATATGTTCTCTTAGGGCGAAAGTTGCGATCGAGTCTCCATATTTGGTACGCCCGCAAAATTTGGACATGATTTTATTGTCATTAATTTTTTAGAATTCTGAATTTGAAACGTACGCGTCTGTGCCTTCTGGCATGGCTGGCTCCACGCCGTATTATCCGTGAGGTCGGCCCCATGCGTGTTGCGACGGGCTTCACGCCGTTTGACGTGTGCACTTGTGCCTTTTGGCACGGCGGGCTCCACGCCGTATGATCTGTGAGGCCGGTCCCACGCGTGTTGCGACTGGCTCGTTATCATTTGACGTGCGCGTCTGTCCCTTTTGGCATCGCGGGCTCTACACCGTATGATCTGCGGGCCTGGCCCCTTGCATGCTGTGACGGGCTCCATGCAATCTGACATGTGTGACCGTGCCTTCTGGCGCGATGGGTTCCTTGCCATTTGATCTGCGAGGCCGACCCAACTCATGTCATGCTTATCGTGTTTCATGCTGCGTGTGACTTGCACCATAGGTCTGCGTGTAGTGCATCCCATAATTTTAACAAAAAGTCTCAGAAAAATCAAGGATATAGTCCTCTCACTCTCTTTTGTGTGTCTCATTAAAGTATAGGGTCTATTTTGTTTATTAAGACAATCATTTTCTTTATGAATACAGGGTTTATGTGCCTTGAATTTATTTCATTAGGTATGTTTTTAGAAGTATTTTCTGATAATTATCTGTCACGTAGCCTGCAAAATAAAGGAGTACGTGTTGGTAGGATCTTTGTCTTAATGAAAGGTAACACATCTTATAATTTAAAAGAGAGGGAGTGCAACATTACACAGTCTCACGGGTGAAAAAGCCAAATAGTGTGTGGCACATACAAAAAGAACAATATCTGCTTGTTTCTCACAAATGGCAAAACATGTCAACGTGAAAGTTTCATAGGCCAACACAACTTTAGTACTACAATGTCATGTTTCTTTTCCTATAACTTTTGGTATGACATGAATATCTAAAAATGGATAGAGGTCACATACGTGAACTTAGAAAAACTCCTCCATATGATGTCGCGGTCTCACAACTGTTGGCGAAACCATTTGCGATATAGCCGTCTATTCAACTAGGATATGTGGTATTTCTTGGTATGTCACTATATTTGGAATGTTTGTGGTGTTCATACAATCATATACTCATCTATTACCAACGGTTTTCGTTGAAAACCAACGTCTGTTATGCTATATCTAAGTTGCAATAGATGAATATGTTCTCTTAGGGCGAGAGTTGCGATCTAGTCCCCATATTTGGTACACCCACAAAATTTGGACGTGATTTTATTGTCATTAATTTTTGAGAATTCTAAAGTTGAAACGTACACGTCAGTGCCTTCTGGCGTGGCGGACTCCACGCCGTATTGTCGGTGAGACCGGCCCCATGTGTACTGCGACGGGCTTCACGTTGTTTGACATGCGCGCCCGTGCGGGCTCCATGTCGTATGATCTCCGAGGCCGGCCCAGCTTGTTGCGACTGGCTCGTTGCCATTTGACGTGCGCGCCTGTCCCTTTTGGCGTGGCTGGCCCTAGCGTGTTGTGACAGGCTCCGTGCCATCTGACGTGTGTGCCCGTCCTTCTGGCGCGACGGGCTCCTAGCCGTCTGATCTGCAAGGCTGGCCCAACTCATCTTATGCTTATGGTGTTTCATGTTGTGTGAGTCGCACCGTAGCAAGGTCCGCGTGTAGTGTATCCCATAATTTTAAGAAAAAAGTCTCAGAAAAATCAAGGATAAGTATAGAGTCTATTTTGTTTATTAAGATGATCATTTTCTTTATAAATACGGGGTGTACGAGGTGCCTTGAATTTATTTCATTAGGTAAGTTTTTAGAAGTATTTTCTGATAATGATTCATGTAGCTCGCAAAATAAAGGAGTACGTGTTGGTAGGACCTTTGTCTTAATGAAAGGTAACACATCTTATAATTTAAAATAGAGGGAGTACAACATTACACAATCTCACGGCACGGGTGAAAAAGCAGATAGTTTGTGGCACATACAAAAAGAACAATATCCTCTCTTGTTTCTCACAAATGGCAAAACATATCAACCTGAAAGTTTCACAGGCCAACACAACTTTAGTACTACAATGAGTTGTTTCTTTACCTATAATTTTTGGTATGACATGAATATCTAAAAGTGGATAGGGGTCACATACGTGAACTTAGAAAACCTCCTCCATATGATGTCGAAGTCTCACAACTGCTGGCAGAACCATTTGCGATATAGTCGTCTATTCAACTAGGATATATGGTATTTCTTGGTATGTCACTATATTTGGAATGTTTGTGGTGTTCATACAATCATATACTCATCTGTTACAAATGGTTTTTGTTGAAAACCAGCATCTGTTATGCTATATCTATGTTGCAATAGATGAATATGTTCTCTTAGGGCGAAAGTTGCGATCAAGTCCCATATTTGGTACACCTGCAAAATTTGGACATGATTTTACTGTGATCAATTTTTGAGAATTCTGAAATTGAAACCTACGCGTCTGTGCCTTCTTGCGTGGCGGGCTCCACGACGTATTATCCGTGAGGCCGGCCCCAAGTGTACTGCTATGGGATTCACATTGTTTGGTGTGCACGCCCGTGTCTTTTGGCGTGGCCGGCTCCACGTCGTATGATATGTGAGGCCGGCCCCATGTGTGTGGCAGCAGGCTCCACGCCGTCTGATGTGCGTGCTTGTGTGTAACACCCACGATGCGGCTATATCTCCCACGTGTCGGGGCATGACTTAGAGGCATAACCGCATTGTAGGCAATGTCGCAAGAGGGGTAATCTTTACACATCTCATGTACTGAATAAGAAAAGAGGTACATAGTTGGCTTACAATCGCCACATCACACAATAGCATAAATATATCATTACAATCATCCAGATACAATTAAGGTCCGACTACGGAACCAAAATAAAGACAACCCCAAATGCATAATGTCCCCGATCGCCCCAACTGGGCTCCACTACTGATCGTCTGGAAAGGAAACGTAGTATCGTCCTGAGTCCTCATCGAACTCCCACTTGAGCTCAGTCGCATCTCCTAGAACGGTATCATAGGTCCCTGCATCTGGTTTTGAAGTAATCTGTGAGTCACGGGGACTCAGCAATCTCACACCCTCGCGATCAAGACTGTTTAAGCTTATAGGTAGGGAAAAGGTATGAGGTGGAGCTGCAGCAAGCACTACCATATATGGTGGCTAACATACGCAAATGAGAGCGAGAAGAGAAGGCAAGGCACGGTCGAGAAACTATAATCAAGAAGTGATCCTAGAACAACCTACGTTCAAGCACAACACGAGACCATGTTCTCTTCCCGGAATTCGCCGAAAAGAGACCATCACGGCTACACACGTTGTTTATTCATTTTAATTAAGTTTAAGCTTCAGGTTTTCTACAACCGGACATTAACAAATACCCATCTGCCCATAACCGCGGGCACGGCTTTCGAAAGTTCAAATCCCTGCAGGGGTGTCCCAACTTAGCCCATCACAAGCTCTCACGGTCAACGAAGGATATTCCTTCTCCCAGGACGGCCCGATCAGACTCGGAATCCCGGTTACAAGACATCTCGGCAATGGTAAAACTAAACCAGCAAAGCCACCCGGATGTGCCGACAAATCCCGATAGGAGCTGCACATATCTCATTCTTAGGGCACACCGGATTGTCCAAACTTTCGGTAGGCCAGCCCAGAGTTTCCCCTGGTGGCCACCGGCGGCTGACAAGTTGGACCAACACTCAGAGGAGCACTGGCCCGGGGGTTTAAAATAAAGATGACCCTTGAGTCCGCGGAACCCAAGGGAAAAAGAGGCTAGGTGGCGAATGGTAAAACCAAGGTTGGACCTTGCTGGAGGAGTTTTATTCAAGGCGAACTGTCAAGGGGTTCCTATTATAACCCAACCGTGTAAGGAACGCAAAATCAAGGAACATAACACCGGTATGACGGAAACTAGGGGGCAAGAGTGGAACAAAACACCAGGCATAAGGCCGAGCCTTCCACCCTTTACCAAGTGTATAGATGCATTAAAGTAGACAAGATATAATAGTGATATCCCAACAATAAACATGTTCCAACAAGGAACAAACTCCAATCTTCACTTGCAACTAGCAACGCTATAAGAGGGGCTGAGCAAAGTGGTAACATAGCCAAACAACGGTTTGCTAGGACAAGGTGGGTTAGAGGCTTGACATGTCAATATGGGAGGCATGATAAAGCATGTGGTAGGTATCGTAGCATAGGTATATCAATAGAGCAAGCATCTAGCAAGCAAAGATAGAAGTGATTTTGAGGGTATGGTCATCTTGCCTGCAAAGTTCTCTAAGTTGATGTAAGCTTGATCCTCGTAAACGTTCTCAACGGGTTCCTCGATCACGTACTCGTCTCCCGGCTCTACCCAAAGCAAGAACACAAGCAAAGGGAGACACAATCAACCACGGTGCAATGCGCAAGAAACATGATGCAAAACATGGCATGATATGCGGGATGTGATATGTAATGTGTATGCATGCTTCGGAAAGGAAAGATTGAACCTGGCCTCAACTTGGAAAACCAAGAGTGCCACTGGAAAGGGGAGTTGATTTTGGTCGAAATCGATATAAAGATCACCGAAATTGGATGCACGGTTTGCAACTGGCAAGCAAAACAATAATGGCACAAAGCTGCGATTAACAGCACGAGGCCATCTAACTGCATCAATAACAATAAGCTACGACACTCTAACATAACATCAAAGCACATGGCAGTGATCCACTCAAGATGCTTGACAAAAGATGAACACTGAGCTACGGCTAATTCACTCAATAGCAGGTTCAAACAAGCATGGCAAAAGTGCAAAAGATATCAGGTTCACAGACTTGGTGAAATAACCAACATGTCAGGATTTAACATCAGGAAGCAATGTTTAGAGAAAGATAACAACATGCTACAGGAACATATCATGGCAAAGCAAGGCATGGCATGAAGCTACTCAAAGCATGTAACAAAAGTCCCTTACTGACCATAATCCAAAAGGGATCAGAAAATACAATGGCACCCATGTGAACATAGCAAGTTTCGTTAACAGATTCAGACTTAGCAGAAAAACTGAAACATGGCAAAACAGATTTATATAGGCATGTTTGCGAGCTCGATGCACTCACCACAAGCCATTGCATGACAAACTAAGCATACACCCAGCAAGTAGACATGATAAATAAGCTAACCATGGCAAGAACACTCTCATAGCATGCATGGATAAACTATAACAACCTCGGCAAAATTGCTTAACATATAAACAATCTGCCAGGAACATTTTATAGCAAAAGTAGAGCAAGATTGAGTCATGTTAGGGCACTCCATAATTGCAAACAAAGATATGGATGGATAGAGCATAACAATATCTCAAAATCATCCTTACTGAACATGCTCAAAAGAGGCATGGATCACTCTGTAGCAACAAGAATACATGGCATAAAAATATCACCAGGGAAAAGACTTAGAAGAACTCTAAGTCCCTGAAATCAGCAACATCACAAGAGCTACTTTGCATGCTTGTGCTAGTCACCACAAAGATCACAAAAATACATGGCATACACCCCTGTAAAGATAGCATGGCATACTACAAAACACGTGTAGGGCTCAAGTTCATAGGAGGCACACATTAAACATGGCAAAAATGACAAATGACCAAAATCTGTTAAGAATCTGAAACTAACATTACATAACACTCTTGCAACAGCATTTAGGGCATCAAGATGAACTCAAATGAACATGGTGCAATGAAATGAAATGAAGTACACATCGAGACAAACAATTTGATATGCTACACGCCCAAAACGGAGCCACACACGCAAAGTTATGATGCGATGAAGTATGCTAAAAATCACCGGGACTTAGAGGAGAAACGAGGTCAACCTCCCAGATCTAGGGTTTCACTGTAGCACGCGGATCGAGGGTCGCCGGAGGTAGAGGTCGCCGGAGTTGGCTGGTACGGCGGAGGAAGGCCGGATCTGGCCGGATCCGGTCGACCCGAGGTGCGCCGGCGACGAGGGGGCGCCGGACGGCGGGGGCGCGGCTCCCGCGACGGATCTGGGCACGCGGAGGCGGCGGGCCAACGCACGGGGCGGCGGGCGGCGATGGTGGCCGCGGTGGCCGGACTTAACGGCGCTCGGGCGGCGCGGCGAGCCGGGTGCGGGGAGGCGGCATCTGGGCCCGTGGGGCCCGCTACGGGCCTCGGCGGGCCGGCGGCGGAGAGGACGGCGACGGGACACGTGGCGGCAGCAATTTGTCCGGTGCGGACCGGATGTGTCCGGCGCGCGGAGGTAGCGGGGCTAGGGTTTAGGGTGGTGTTTGATCCAAGATTTTCGGGGGAGATGCCTATTTATACATAGAAGGAGCTAGGAGGCTCCAAATTGAGCACGGTTTTCGGTCACGCGATCGTGATCGAACGACCGAGATGATGGAGGGGGTTTAGCTGTACTTTGGGCCACTTTGGAGAGGTGTTGGGCCGCAACACACATGAGGCCTTCATGATTCCTCGGTTAACCGTTGGAGTATCAAACGATGTCCAAATGGCACGAAACTTGACATACGGTCTACCGGTAGTAAACCAAGGCTGCTTGGCAAGTCTCGGTCCAATTCAAGAACGTTTAACACCCGCACACGAAAAGAAGCAAAAAGAGACACCGGAGGGCATATGTGCGTCGGAATGCAAAACGGACAATGGGGAAAATGCTCGGATGCATGAGACGAACACGTATGCAAATGCGATGCACATGATGACATGATATGAGATGCATGACAAAGACAAATGCAACACGGAGACAAAACCCAACAACGAGGAAATATCATAACTTAGTGCCGAAAATGGCAAGAGTTGGAATACAAATATGGCAGGTTACATATGGGGCGTTACATTGTGCCTTCTGGCGCGACGGACTCCTTGCCGTCTGCGAGGCCGGGTCAATAACGTGTGAGTCGTGCCGTATGAGGGTCCGCGCGTAGTGCATTCCATAATTTTAACCAGAAGTCTCAGAAAAATCAATGAATAGTCCTGTGTGTGTGTGTTCAAGTACAGGACAACCGTTTTATTTATGAATGCGGGGTTTATGTCTCTTGAAGTATTTTCTAATAATTATCTGCCACGTAGCCCACACAATAAAGCAGTACGTGTTGGTAAGATATTTTGTCTTAATGAAAGGTAACACATCTTATAAATTGAAACAGCGGGAGTACGACATTATGCAATCTCACAGGGAAAAAACCAAATAGTGTGTGGCACATACAAAATGAACATTATCCTCGCTTGTTCCTCACAAATGGCAAAACTTATCAACCTAAAAGTTTCACATGCCAATACAACTTTAGTGCTACAATGTCCTGTTTTTTTCCTAGAATTTTTGGTAATGACATGAATATCTAAAATGGATAGGGGATCACATACGTGAGCTTAGAAAAACTCCTCCATATGATGTCGCAATCTCACAACCGTTGGTGGAATCATTTGCGATATAGTCGTCTATTCACAACAACTCCCCCTATCCTTCTCACATATTGGATGTAACAAAGTCTTATATTATGAGACGGAGAAGTAGGATTTATGGTATTTCTCGGTATGATAATAACTAGTAAACCATTGGCGGACAAATTGACTGTAATTCCAATACATGAATCTGTTGTTAATTAGTATGTTGGTTGAACTAAGATATGTTAGGAATTGTGTTTGGAATGCACTCATGACAAGGTCCCAAAGCTTGTTATTTGACTAGTGTGAGGTGATGTTCTAGTCTCGAGCATGTCTGATCATTATTGTTAGTGATGCCATAGTCTCGACACGTCATGCCAACATTTGTGATAGTCATAGTTAACTACTATAATTGCCATTTCTAGAACCTCATGGGGTATTATTATGTCGCAAAATTAATCCGTCAAGTACTTGATGGGTGTTGATCGCATTAATAGCTGGGATTTCCCTTTTTTGGTATAATGACAAGAAATTTGGTGTAGTACTGCATGAATGATTTGTGATGGTTATATATGGTCAACCATGATGTAATAAGTCATTAGAAATTTGTGATAGTCAGATATAGTAGTCAACCATGATTATAGTAAGTCATTAACAAAGTCGATGATGGTTGCAAAACATATCTATATTGGGAGCAGTGTATTGTAGTCTCACAAATTTCATATCATTAATATCATATATTTTTATGATAGGTCAACTACAAAAATCTCAATACCAATATCACTCGATCTTACGCCGATTCCAAATGTCACGTTACCGCTTGTTGATTTAGTGTGTATAGATATACACAAGCATTTAACCTTTTTTATTGCCTTAAACCAGAGGTTAAAAATAATTTTGATATTACATAATTATGCTGTAAATTAAACCATCAAGTAGATCAATGATGGTCACACTAACTAGATGAATCTGTTAGGATGTTGATTGACCTAAGTGATTTGCTTTTTTGGTATGCGACGATGTCGTGGCCTCAGTACTGTCCCAACCTTTTGTGATAATCATGTAGTCAACCATGATACATGGTAACATTATATTGTTAAAATAAACCGTTGGGTAATGTTGGTTGCCTTAACATGAATCTATTAGGAGCATTAATGTTTTAGTCTACGAGTTTTATATCATTACTACTATTGGAATTGTTTGTGATTGTCATAGCGAACTGGATAGAACTCGTATGTCCCAGAAGCACATTTGATAGATATGCCACAACAAGAATCTCACAGAAATTACATCACCGTTAAATTGCATAGCTTTTAACCTCCTTTAGTGCACTCAACTAGTGGCATAAAGTACAAATTTGAAGACACGGTGCTGTTGATATTTTAGTGAACTTCCAATATGAACTAGTATGATTCACAGAGATGACAATTTCCATTAAAATGGACCGATGTTCTGAAACAGAGGGAGTAGGTAAATGCAAGTCCTGAAGGGAATGGACAGATAGAAGCTCATTCCAGTGATGAGAACACGGTGCTAGTAACAGACCACATGTTCTGCTTTTTCCTCTCCAGTTCTGTCAAATATGAACTCAGCGCCAGCATAGGTCATTCAATAAGTGACCAGCTCATACAATACAACCAATATGGTTCAATTAGCATGCTCTCATCTCTATGCCTTCAATGTCATGATGGAGCCACAAATATAGATTCCTAGACCTAACTGAAACTTAGGAGCCAATATTAAGGGTGGGAGGGGTCTAGAAAGAGCACTCGATATGCAAGAAGTCCTAATTTCAGTTAAGGGAGGAAATAGCTGCTTATTCTGCAAAGCACTAGAGCAGAGAACCTTGATGCTGGAATGGAAACCTCGAAGCTTTCAGCCATAGGATGTGAGGCTATTGGAATCAAATGCAGCTATGGCCTGCATGATTTTGCGCCAGAATCTGCTTCTTCCAAGGTCCGATTGATATATTGCTGCAACTTCAAGGCTTGAGGACCAGGTTTCACAACATTCACATCGCTCCACTGGGAACATGGGTCAATGAACCAGCTCTTCCTTCCTGCGCACCAGGCACCAGGAACAGGCCCATGGCCCGGACGCTTAAGTAGTTTCTCATCGATCTTGTCCAGCAACGGTCCATTCGCTTGAAACCGCCTTGCAAAAGGCTGTCCACTGTCCACCATCTTATCATAATGTGCCATGCTGAGAAAAAGGGGCTCTGTCTGAGGTGGATCATCCCACACCTTGTACCTCAAGTCATTGTTAACAGTGGAATTACGGAAGTCAAGCGAGTTGCATATGACTGAGTGGAAATATCCTTCCTGAGGTAGCATTACATTGTTGAAGTACATGAGAAGAAGCCGAGGAAGATTCTCCCAACCAAGAACACAGTACTCTATAAACCGTCGGTTCAGAATAACCCATGGAGAACCTAGTAAGAAGGAACGAAGATGGATAAGGAAATGATCTAAACCAATGAAATTAAATCAGAGCAGAGAACAATAAATGCCTGTGAAGAACTTGAAAGCATCAGGACTTGGTCGTTTCTGTGTGGCTCGGAAGAAGTTGGTCCTCCCTGACAAGTATATTCCAGCATCCACTATCATCGATTGCACTTTTTCAGATCTGCAAGTGAGTAGTTTTATTAAAACTGATACCGTTGGCTGCTAAAATTCTCTCCAAGTTCAAACGATCCATACTCTTTCTGTCCAATGTCACTAGTGTGATCAATGAAGTTAAATTCCCTTGGAACATACGACAAGGCATGAATCAAATCTGCAACAGGACAAAATGTACGGTAGTATCACAATCAGCATAAACTTCTAGCACAATGATGCCAATCTAGCAAAATTAACAAGAAAATATGATCATGTTTGGGACAGAAACTGGAAATGTCATCTGGAAAACCGAAAAACTCCAAAGGCCAGCACGACACAATAGACACAAGCTAGTATTTACAAATGAATATCATGAGAATCATCACAACTACTTGAGGTTAGTTTTATAATTGACCTATAGGAGGAGTGCATGTTCTGAAATGTGCACTATCTATTCCACTTCAGATATATCAAAACCAAGAGATAACGGGAGCCTGGATTTAACTCCTTGATTTTTAAACAGACAATAATGGAGCTCTATTCTGTGGACAATTGCAATAACACTACATCTGTGTAGATTTTAAAAAAAAAATCAATACATCCGTGATAACAGGCAGGTGGTTCCTAACAAATTCCCAGGGTGGGTAAGCTGTAAACCATTGTTACTATGCTCGTGACACAATTCAACATGAAAAGTCGGCAATTTGATGTTAATTAGAAGATGTATGTTGCCGAAATTAATTTCGGTTCTAGTACTGCTGAGAAACGAAAGACCGAAATGTATTTCGGGTCAATGGGATACCATCATGCAAACCCATGAGTACGAAGACAGATCGGGATGCCGTACCGTCCTGGGTGACGAGGGGATAATCGGCGGCGTTGAGGGTGATGAACCAGTCCCAGTCGGGGTGGAGGCGGAGCAGGACAGCAGCGGCGCGTAACGTGCCGGCGAGGCCCGACGACCCGACGGGTGTCCCCGCGGTAGGCGTGCCCACAAGAGCGACGTTGTCGAAAGAGACAGCGGCGGGCGCCGCGGCGGCGACCCCAGCAGCAAGGTCCCGGCGCTCTTCGTGGGAGGCGTCGGCGGAGAGGTGGAGGATGTAGCGGTTGCGTGGGTGGTAGACTGCGAGGAGGAGTCGTAGGAGGCGGTGCCCGTCGCCCCGGCCGCCGATGAGGAGGTAGGCGAGGCAGGGGAGCGCGTCGGGGCCGCGGCGGACTCCGGCGGCGGCGCGGGCGGTGGTGAGCCCAGGGAGGCGGAGGCGCGTCGGGGAGGAGTAGGCGGAGAGGAAGAGGAAGAGGAACGAGAGGAGGAAGGAGACGGAGACCAGCGAGAGGAAGAGGATCCACCTCCACCTCTCGCCCGAGCCGGCGCCCCCTCCCCCGATGCCGCCTCTCATGCCCCCCAATCCCATGGAAGAAGAGGATCCGGAGAGGGCGCCAGATCACATGCACGACACAGGCGGGAAATGGGGCGGCGGCGTGGATCGGCTCGCCGGCGGTGAGTCGCCGACGTCGTCGGGGGTGCTTAGACTAGAGGCCGCGAGAGCATCGCGTCGCATCGCACACCAGTGATTTTCTTTGTCGCGTGTCGGTGGAAGTTGTCGGAGAAGTGACTGGGTACCAGACCTGGCCATCTGGGGTGGGCCGGGCTACGCGAGCCGGGCCGAAAGCACGAGTGCCCGTCCCGGTACCCGTTTATTATTTTTATTTTTAAACGGCCAAAAATGTCAGAACTAGGCCGAATAGCACGCGTGCCGGGTTAGTCCGGCCCGTTTAGCAGTTATTGGTGGAAGTGTGGCACGCATGCTACCACAGCACAACCCGTTTATAAACATGTCATTGCGGGTCGTGCCATGCCAGGCATGTTTAAGGGTGGGTTGGGTCGTGCCGACCCAGATGGCTAGGTCAGCTCGGGATTTTGGGCTACCACACGGGCCATTGTATTGTGGTAGCAAAGTATGCATACACAAGCCATCGATTTTTTTTAGTGAGTTGATATTTTGTCAATCAATTTTTTTCAAGGATCGTCCTTCTTTCTTTTCAGTTCTTTCTCCTCTAACAATTTCTCCTTTCAAGAATTTGAGTTACTCAAATTACACAGTCAACTTATATATG